GCTATGAAGTTGGAACACCGACTGATAGTCTGTTAAGCCTGTTTGGCTAACATTATAGTGCGTTTCTTCCCGTGTGGGTTCCGAGGCCCTATTATAGGGAAAACAAGAACAGACCCACTGCCTGTCCAAAAAGCATGTCGTGAGAGTCAACAAATTGAGAGCTTCCTTCAAAGTCGGGGTGCATCTGTCTGAGAGGCAAGGAACCAGCAGTCTGTATACAAATGAATAAGATCTGTAAAACAGATGCACATGTAACACTCAGGTTCTGGGACAGGACTGCAGTCCAGAAGTGGATGAACAACCAGAACTTTCCGCTAGAGTTTACAGCTGGTGAACGCGAAGAAGAAGAAGAAGAAGATTATAGTGCATTTCAAAACTCATGCAGTCACTAATTAACAAATATATCGGATCCTCCTGTACAGATCAACACGAATTTTTGCTCGTGGTCTTAGGTTTTCAATGTTCTTATGATTCTATCATTTACAACTGCACAGATGCTGCCGTTTTCTGAAAGCGGCGAATTTCTTTGATCTTTGTTTTGGCTAATAATGTTTGTACCCCTTGAAAAACAGAATACTCAGTAATTAAAACACGTGTTTAGATTGTTTGGAAATCACTTCACGTGTGCAGCGATGCGTTGTGATTATTTTGATAGTGAGTTCTCCCGCTCCAACAAAAAATCGGCAGTTCTCAGGGGAACTTAAGCTGAAGACCACATGAGAAAGAAACGCATACATACACACGTGCGATTTAACGTTTTGACAAGTTCTTCTTACTCACTTTGCTCAAGTTCCTGTAAGCTCGCTGATTGTTTGCTCTGAATCTGTCTCTGTTTGTACATATACCGCATATAAGGCAATATAACAATTCATGTAAAAAACTTACGAACAAGGACATGACTACGACCGGCTCCAGCATGACGTCACCGTGTCAGACTAACGATGCGTTAACACAGCGGTTCTCAAACAAGAAATAAACCATATTCGACAGTGACGAGGGAAGACAACTGAAACTTTACCTTTTAAGTATCTACATGCCTTCTTTATTAATTTCGCATTTTTAAGCCGACTTTTCCTGATTATTTGCCGTGGCACCCCTGGCATACGCTCACGGTACCCCAGGGTGCCTCGGCACCCAGTTTAAGAGCCGCTCCTCTAACGCATCGTTAGCCCGACCCGGTGACGTCAGCGGCACCCCCCCCCCCCCCGTCAGTTGGAAATGACTATTAACTAGATGCGTGCCATATTTCACCAGCTTACACCGAACGCTTGGGTACAAGATGACAGATTTTTAAAGTTCAGCGTGACTTCTGGAACGGACAATAATTCAGTTAAAAACTGATTCAGCATGGTACAGCAACAGGTGCTGGTCGAGTAGTTAGCAGTCTTGGTTCTCATACCGGAGAGTTTGGTTCAATCCTTGGTATAGAATAACGATTTTTTTCCCTGCGGGGTGGAGGGGGAGGGGTGGGGGTGGAAATAAAAATCCTAACATATACAGTCCGTACCTTGACTCCCATGTCAACCCAGCCTTGAATTGGTACCGGGTGTAGTCCCAGGAAGTAAAGGCAACCGGCGTGATGCTGACCACATCACCCATGTTATGTCGATTGGTCTATAAAAATATAGGTCTAGCCCTATATGCCCTATACGCCTAAAGGCGTGGAAAAGGGTCTTTTACTTTATACAATCCGTGGTGACTGTACTAACCATGCGACATTAAATCCCCAGACTCACGACCCTCCTATTCCACACCGTCAGGTGATAAAACACTGGCAGCAAAGTCAGTGTGTCGCAGCAGTCAACGAGTCGCAGTGAATTAAAAGTAAAGGTCCTTTTCCACGTCAGTGGTCCATTGGGCATATGAGGCTAGGTGGGTTCTGTGCTCAAAAACACGCCGGCTGCCTTTACTGGTCATGTCTTTGTTTTCTGTTTCTTTCCTTCGTGTGCTTGAAATAGATGCTCTATGTCAGCAATGTAGTCTCTAGTATGAACTTCACTGTCTGTTGTAATTTACTCAGGGACCCATAAAGTTTGGGGTTTTATCTAGTATACCTTTCTTAGCAAAAGAGAAATTGGCAAGAGGACGAAAATGGCTGTTTACCGCTCTACCTATGTACCAGTCCTGACCTATGGGTGTGAGTCATGGGCAATGACAACAGCTCACAGAAGCCAGCTGCAGGCCTCGGAAATGAGATACATGAGAAAGGTGGTCCAAGTGACAAGAAGGGACAAAGTCCGCAATCAGACAATACGTCAAGATCTTGATACCCAGCCCTTACTAACCCGAGTAGATCAGTCACAGTTACGATGGTTTGGACATGTATGCAGAATGGGAGAAAATCGGCCACCATGGCAGGCATGGGAGGCTAAGAACCAGGGAATCAGACCTCCGGGACGACCAAGGGTGCGCTGGGAAGACAACATCCGACAGTCCCTAACTGACAGAGGACTGGAATGGAACAAATCCAGAAAGAAAACTGCGGATAGAGACGTCTGGCGATCTCTCTGGCAAACCTCTACACCCCAAGGTAGAAGAGGAGCGACTAAGTAAAGTAAGTAAGTATCTAGTATACCAAATGAAGGCTGGGCCGACGTGGGAGACAAGACCATGTTTGAAAAAACAAATTCCAGCGCCATGCGGATTTGAATCTGAGACTTTCGGATCCACAGGCGAGCATCTAGCTGCTACACCACAGCGGCTTCCTGTGATTGTAGACGCTGGGTTGAAATTTGCGGTTTCATGGCTAATAGGGGTTAGCGAATGCAGTTAACAATTTCGTCATCATCATCGAGCACTAGGGTTTGTTTCCCGCTGTGGACGCTTTAAAAAAAAATCTTATGTTTTTTGGACAATAGTATGAAAAATGTACTGTGGAAGTGATTGGACGCCTCATCACGTATTTCCAAAGACAACAGTAGCACACTGTAGTCAACCTCCGTTGTAAAAAAAGAAAATAAAAAAAAAAAAAAAAAAACAGGAACAAATGACTGGGACAAAAGAAGTTAGCCAAAACTTGCCATGTATGTTTTTTTTTTTTTTAACGGATCAACATCAGGGCACACGGGTAGTAGTAACCCATGAGTGCTCCGTTTTTCTTCTAATTCAAGCTTGAGTCTGAAGAATCTCAGCGCTGTGCACAAACTCTCTTGCACCAGCAAGGATCCTGAAATACTTTGGGTTCAAGCCGTTAGGCTACTCTTTTTTATTTCCAACTGCCAAGGGATTTTTACGATTGCAACAATACACACGGGCGTCTAGTCTTACTACCCAGAGACCAGGGGAAATCACTAGAAGTCCAAGTGAAAAAATCCCAGCCCTCACCAGGGCTTGAACCCGGGACCTCTAGCACTCGAGGCGCACACCATGCATTTAGACCAGGCAGCCTCGCTAACTTGCCATGTAAAGTGTTGTCAATCAACATGTGGTAAGTTGGTAAGTTACCTGTTATAACAAAAATTAGGATGATGGCGGTAGCAAAAGCAATGATGTGTCTAGAGACACTGCATTTTTTTTCATGCATGCTTTCTATGTAATTCCACAAACATGCTGAAGAAGGTAGAGACAAGATTGATTTGAAGAAAATGGTCGAAGTGCCTCAAGGCAGTTTCTTCTGAAAGGAATTAGTTTCATTTTTGCGCCAGGACACTCCGGGATAATAGGGAATGAATGAGCAGATTGGCTTTCTGGCAGGGCCACGATAGGTACAGGAAAAGCAATAAACCAGGCCAACATTCTCAGTGCTCTCAAGGAGGCAGGACGATGATTCAGGAGATGACGCTGAATCAGCAACACTCAAAAGATTACAAGAGCTATACAGGTAGCCAAAAGAAGAATATTAAACCAACATAGAACTGGTGTTATCAGTCGCCACACGCTGAGTGATATACTGAGAATGGGATCTGAGTGCTTATGGACTTGCTTGATGTGCAGTGAGGAAAATCTGTCAGTTTACCAACTAACCAACTAACCAACTAACCAACTAACCAACTAACCAACCAACTAACCAACTAACCAACTAACCAACTAACCAACTAACTAACCAACTAACCAACTAACCAACTAACCAACTAACCAACTAACTAACTAACTAACTAACTAACTAACTAACTAACTAACTAACTAACTAACTAACTAACTAACTAACTAACTAACTAACTAACTAACTAACTAACTAACTAACTAACTAACTAACTAACCAACCAACCAACCAACTAACTAACTAACTAACTAACTAACTAACTAACTAACTAACTAACTAACTAACTAACTAACTAACCAACTAACCAACTAACCAACTAACCAACTAACCAACTAACCAACCAACTAACCAACTAACCAACTAACCAACTAACCAACTAACTAACTAACTAACTAACTAACTAACTAACTAACTAACTAACTAACTAACTAACTAACTAACTAACTAACTAACTAACTAACTAACCAACTAACCAACTAACTAACTAACTAACTAACTAACTAACTAACTAACTAACTAACTAACTAACTAACTAACTAACTAACCAACTAACCAACTAACCAACTAACCAACTAACCAACTAACCAACTAACTAAACTAAACTAACTAGAAACATTTTACCAATTAGCTATATAGAAGAGAAAACTATCAAATATGTCAGAGAGAAAAAACAAACAAATTTGCAAGACATTAGGAGCCTCTTTTGGCAGTGGTGAAACTTGGTTTGGGCACTTGGTAAGACATGATTTGATTGCAAAGACTGTACTTCAAGGAACGTTGGAGAGTAGTCAAAGAAGAGGAGGGCAAAGAACAACCTGGAATGATAAAATCAAGAAATGGACAGGACTAAGTTATCACACATTGATTCATCAAGCAGAAGTCAGAAAGATAGCCAGTTTTATGTGCTAGCGCTTCCATCGATACACCTCCACGACCCTAACGGGTCAAATGTTATGTTATGTTACAATTTTTTTGACATTGATAAAACACTAACTTTTTATTCATTTGATATCCTCAGATTCTCCTAGCTCTCCAATGCTGACCCTCGCAGTAACCCCTAACTCTGGAGGACCAATGAAATCTTCATCCGACGTCAAATCTGAAGCCATCGCTTGTATGGGCTTATTACGTCGCAACGAAGTTAAACTAATGGAAAACGCTAAACTGCTTTTGAAGCAGGACAGGGAGTTCTTCCTAAAAGTCTTCACTTCCACTGTGGATGAGTGGACACTAATACATGCCTGTACCCTCAAAGGTGTTCGGCCGTTGGTCAAAATTGCCTTGAAAGCTGGTGTCGACCCAAATTTAGAGATGGGAGTTCCAGATGGTCTGCCGGGTCGTTGCACACCATTACATCTAGCAGCACACAGAGGAGATGTGAGTATTATAGAACTACTGGTGCAGTTTGGTGCTCAAGTGAACAAACAGGATAACATGAACTACTCACCTTTACACTATGCACTACGGCGGGGGAACACCCTTGCAGCGAAAAAGTTGTTAAAATTCGGAGCGGATCCTTCGGAACTTTCTCGCGAAGAAAGGATATATTTTAGGAACGAAATTAACGCAAAGGGATCCGCACTTCTATGTATACCTGTTAGAGTAGGGTCTCAGAAACATAAACATAATTCTTCTTCGCTTAGGGATAAGACTTCATCTGCTTCATAATCAAGAGATCTGGCACACAAGACAGATTCTTTAGAATTGACTGAAGAAATAACTGTGCATTCTATTAGTGAAATTAAAGTGAAAGCACCATTCTTTATGTGTGAACATTTTTCTCTGCTTAGAGATAAGACCTTTTCTATTTCATGATGAAATTCAAGAGACTGTTGACAGAACTGTCGCCCTATGAAAATATATGCTTCAAGAACGAATCAACTCTATTGAGGCATTGCTTCTGTGTGTAGAGTTAGGTTCTAGAAAGATCAACATAGTTATTTACATAGAAATAAGACCTCATCTACTTCTTAATGAAAATAAAAAGACTGTTGGCACAACAGATCCTTCAGAACTGTCTCAAGAAGAGAAGATATATTTTAGGAAGGAAATCAATGCTTTAGTGAAATTGATACTGGGTGTGTAGTTTTATTTAATTTCTTACTTTTTCCAGCCTACTTTTGTGGAATTTAAGCAGTTGAAATATAGGTCAGTTTTACAAAATGACAGTTAAATAAACTGTTTAATCAGTTGAGAAATTCATGATCGCATACTTATTTAAAATAAAAATGTAAACAGACATAAATATTCAGCATGGAAATTAAGGATTTTATGTCTTTAAAGAATAAATTAACTATAATATGATCTGGGAGAAAGAAAAAAGGTACATACTATGCAGCAACAGAGAACTGAAATATCAGACAGCTAAAGCAGTTACTACTACTATGGTCAACGAACTAAAATCTCAAGACAGCTGAAGCATTTACTACAATGATCAAAGAACTTAAATCTCAACACAGCTGAAGCAATTACTACAATGATCAAAGATCTTAAATCTCAAGACAGCTGAAGCATCTACAAGGATCAAAGAACTTAAATCTCAACACAGCTGAAGCAATTACTACAATGATCAAAGAACTAAAATCTCAATACAATTGAAGCAATTACTACAAAGTTCAAAGAACTAAAACCTTAGACAGCTAAAGCAATTACTACAATGATCAAAGAAATTAAAAACTCAGACAGGTAAAGCTATTGCTACAATGATCAAACAACTAAAATGCCAGAGAAAAGACGCAGCTACTATGATGATCAAAGAACTAAAATTCCAGACTGCTGAAGCTATTACTATGAAGATCAGAGAACTGAAGTCAGAGAGTATTCAAGTTGTTACTATGATTATCAGAGAACTAAAATCTTTAAAATCTATCAAAACTAAAGCAACTACTTGGATGCTCATACAGCTAAAATCTCAGAGAAGTACAGCAAACAATCTACCAAAGCAAAAATTAGAGGCACTCAGCTTCCCATTAACAGAATAATCAGATGACAAAAAATGAATGTTGCTGTTTAGAAACCTTCATCAGCATGAGTTGTTGCTTGTGGTAAGGCTCTGTGAAACATCAGCTTGAATACAACAGCCAAACAGTCTAGTCAACCTGTTGTGTGCCTGCAGCAACAGAGGAAACTGAAGTTCCGCACCACGAGCCGCCATTGATCAGACTGCATTAACATGAACAATGAAATAACTACGTATAATGACAGCAAGGAATTACTAGGCTGCACCAGAGAAATGAAAATTTAAAAAAGTGTTTAAGCTGTGCCATCATCGCCTTACTGAACCGTTACCTGCCTATGTATTATGTGGTTTTAAAATGACACTTATACATATTGTGATTTTTCTATAATGACACTTACAATAAGCAATATGTGATACTTTGTACTCCGTGGCGAGATATTATCCCCGGTGATGATCATTCCTGATAATAAACATTCCTCGTCTTTATGTGAAGTGTGTGTGAAAAATAATATGATTGGGTGCTCAGATTCATCTTCTTTTTGTCTTCCCCTCCTGTTTCTTCTCCTTCTTCTAGTCACTTTTGTCTTTCATGACATGCTTGTTAAAGCGGATCTATTCTCCCCCTCCCAAAAGGACCCCAGAACACAAGGGAAGTGTGTGTATGTGTGTGTGTACATGTGTGTCTGAACATAACATGACTTTATGTTTCATTTTGAAAACCGACATGGAAGGGGACAGCGGAGCTGATACCAAGAAATAATTAAACAACAAAAAATGACAAGAAAACACAACCTAGGGAACGGAAAAGGCTGGCTTTAATAGTGTTTTCTGTAAGTTTTCCTTTCACCCATTTCCATATCGACCTGATCATTATGTGAAAAAAATTAATAATCTGTTATTTGTCCCTTGATAAAGATTTGGGTCGAAACTGTAGGTTTTGTTGGTTCTTGTTTTTCTTTCCCTTTCATTAGGCGTTCTGGTCATATTTTTATTCTGTAGTTTTTTGGTTTTTTTTTTAGCATGGGCACGCTGGGCAACTGTATGTGAAAGACCCCAAAAGATTTTTTTTTTCAATTGCTGTGCGTGGTTGTGTACCTACATGAACTTTATTCCTGGGTTTCTCCAAGGAAACCCTAACTTGAAATTAAGCCATATCTTGATTTTTCAGAAGTGTCACAATATAAACCATACATCAGATATCAGAACATCAACAAGATGGACAGACTTTGTTTGTTTGTTGGAACACATGATGAACATACTGAATAGTAAAATAATAAATAATCATTTTGACTATTATGCTTTAAATAAATGCTAATATAAATTCTAATTAAGAGTTTGTAAAAATCCAAGGGTCGGCTTTTTGTGAGCAGTACATGCCTGCTTAAATGTATCGTAACATGCCTGTTTATACATACTGTAAAACTTGGCAGCACTTGCAAAATGTATCTGTTACAAAAATTTATGTTTTTGTAATGAGTTAGTGTAGATCATTGTACATTTTTAAAAAAAGTACACACCCTGAAAATAAATGTTAAGTAAGTAATGTTAAGGAGCAAAAAACTATATAAACCTGGTTTTGTGGAAAGGAGAAAAAAAAGTGTGTGGGGGGGGGGGGGGGGGGATAAGTATGATAAAAAGTCATCTATATACTTGAAATGAATAAGACCAGACACGCCCATGAAGAACTCATATTGACACCGGAAGGGGAGAGAAAACGGGGACCACCAAGAGAGACCCAGTGTAGAACCACCATCAGGAAAGGCTCAACCATAACAAACATCCAAGACCTAAATCAGGTGGTAACGAACCGCCAGACGTCGAGAGCTATCACGTCTGCCCTTGCGCCACCCTAGGCTCAAGAGGAAAAACTAGCCAACTAACTATATACATGGAACAGCATGTAAGATTTTGTAACTGTGAGTGTCTAAATATAACTTCATAGTACAATTGAATAAGGTATTTGTTATTTGTGCCTGTTAAGTTCCATCAGAAGAGTGGCTCTTTAGGTCACCTGTTGTGAAACCTTCAGATAGCTGACCCAAAGATGGAATAATAATAATAAATAAAAAATGTATTTAAAAAAGGAACAAACTTGTAAACAAAACTTTATTATCGTAAATTGTGGCGTACAGGTCTAGATTTTATGCTATCAAATCTGAGTTAGACCTAAACTCACCTAACACATATTATACTCACCACATGTCGACTCCTTATCTCGAAAAGATATATTAGGAATCTTTTTCTTCTTCTTCTTCTTTTTCTTCTTCTTCTTCTTTCGTTCGCTTGAAATACATTATATACATGTATGCATTCTTAGTGACTCGATGAATATGCTTTAAAAAATCCAAGCTGGATTTATTAGGCAAGAATAAATTGAAACACTAAGCACTTCATGAATATCTGCCCTAACCTTCATCTTTGTGCCAGGTCATGCGGGTGTTCAAGGGAATAAGCGTGCAGACTGTCTTGCTAACACTGCAGTTGCTAAGCCTGGCCCAGTACTGGACACAAGTGGTGTTATTAATGCCATGCGCTGCACTTACCGTACCGAGGAGCACGCCAAAGGACATGACTCCGTATCCCTGTCTAAACTGATGGACATGGGGGTGCAGCCTGGAGCTGCAAGAAATGAACATTTCACTAATGGGACAAGACGTTTCATTAACCAACACAGAACAGGTGTCGTCAGTCGTTTTACACTTTTGGAGCTTTTGAGGATTAGATCAGAGCACCTATGGATCTGTCCGGAGTGCTGTGATGATAATCCTGTCTAATCACTAATCACTAATCTATATCTGCATTGTTGTCTCTAGTACGAACTTCACTGTCTGTTGTAATTTACCCAGCGACCCCATTTTGACTTGCACCTTTATTATATATTATATATTAGGAATAAAAACTAGACTTATACATCAAATTTACAGTATACATTCCTTGTTTTTCTGAATGCTTGGCTGCGATATATTGTTACTGTTGTTACTTGTAAGGTTCTCCCATGAAGTGCTAATAATGAAGTTAAATTTTATATATTGTTACAAATTGTAACCGATAAATGTTTAACTATTATAAAATTGTGATTATAATAAAGAATTGAAATGGTAACACTAAATGTTCCTCAGCTCATTTTACTTTCTGTTTTAAAGATGATGCCAGAATTATTAACTTCTGTGGGTTTTTTCCTGTAAATTTTATTCAGCCATTTCGTTTTTCATTAAGATCAGAGTCTAGAAGTGGAAGAGTGCAATGCACTTTTTTTGGTGGCTGAGTGCTTACAGTATTTCACATTTACATTTATGAACTTCAATAAGGACAAAACGTAAACAACTGAAAACAGCTGATCATCATCATAAATCACTTCTGCAGTTAAGCGTCGTGGGGAAGAATAATTTGCAATCCAGTGCATCTTGGCGGCCACTGGCTATTGTCATGCTGTGAAGGCGTAGAGTGTCTTTAATGTTGTCGATCCATGTTTTCAGCGGCCGTCCTCTTGCTCTTGTAGCTGATATTCTGAGATATAGTGCTTGTGATGGTATTTGATCTGGTGGCATTCTAACGAGATGGCCACACCACTTGATCTGCTGTTTTTAGATAAATCTAGTACAAAGTGTCGTTCCCATAATTTGTTTGGTAGTTTCATTATTCACCCGATCTCGGATGGTTAGGTTGGCTGCTTTACTCAGACATCCCATCTCACAGGTGGTGATTTTGC